CAGGGTATAAATGTGTCTGAGAGAAACAAAGGGAGGAAACATCCGAAGGTATGAGGTGGAGGAAACAGATTAAATGAGTCACATTTTTAATGCGTCAGAATTCCTTGGGAGAAACAACAATAACAACTAATGTACAGGATAGTGTCACAAATGTTTTCATTCCAAGAATTACTCATGAAATTTCCCCTTGTGGGACTAATAAAGTTATATCAATTCATTGTTTTTCTGCTTTTCTCAGACTTCGGTATCCGTTATTTATCTTCCTATCAGCCCTGAGGTTTGACCTACCTCTAAAATCAGCCCCAGCACTTATGTGAAAGTCAAAATTACAGTAGAGGACTGCTGGCACGTAAAAGCACCGAGACCACAAATTTCCCATTACATGTGTTCTCAGCCTTTAAAATGTTATCAAAGTTGTCAGTCGAGTGTTTCTCTTTCTTTTTTATATAACAGACAGACAGACAGACAGACAGACAAACAAACAAACAAACAAACAAACAAACTTGTTGCTAAAGGAAACCAAATCAGTATTTCACAGGAGAAACTAAGAAAGCAGGAAACCAACTGGTGGGGTTTCATTTTGTAGAGCCAGTCTTATTCTCAGTTTCCTCATCTAGTTTCTTCATCTAGCTTCATCTATGCTCAACATCTATTTGGAGTACAACTTCACAAATTCTTTGAAAAGATGGCCGTAGGCTACAGCAAGTACAGTTATGTGAAAAAGAACTGTAAATTGCAGAGATTATGGATAATTTTGTCTCACAGAAAGAAGGTTTAGCTCTATCTTCTACTTTTGTCTGCAGGGGTTTTCTCTGGATGCTCCAGTTTTCCATCAGAGTCTAAAGACACCAACTGGGGATTTTAAATTGGCCATAAGTGTGGATGGGCGTATTAAGGGTGTACCTCACCTTTCACCCTGTGGCAGCTGGGATAGTCTCAAATCCACAGACCCTAACTAGGGTAAGCAGTAAGCTGAATAGATTTTTCACAAGGAAAAAGAGTTACACCCCTGCATCTATGATACATTCATATCCAGAGAATTCAGATTAGGTGCTAGTAGTACTTTCAATTACAACACCTTAATAATGTAGTAATAGTGGCATAGTAAGCTGGAAACACAAAGGTAATCATTAACCTATTAAAATATTATAATGCTGGAATTAACACTACATTATGTCTCCAGTGTTCTTTGTTTAAAGGTAACTATGGAAACACTATGGAAACAAGTGTGGTGCTTTTTGTGAAATAACCAGGAATGAGGGCCACAAAATACAAGAATGCCTCCTTTTATTTACCTCTGTGTTAATAACCTATTGACTGTTAGTTAGCCCTGTTAGTCTGTTGTCAAGTGTGGGGCTTTTATTTTGAAAGGGTAGAAGGGAGGTTTGGTGGGAGAACAGGAAACACGGTGAAAGAAACTTCCAAAGAAAGGAAAATTAGATATTTTTGGTCTTAATAGCACATGGTTCATGTGGACCCAAGGTTGGTTATGATTTTGTTTCATGTTGTGAACAATACCAAATAAAATTATTAAGACTCCACATAGATTTTCTGTATTTGTAAGCGACACAATGTAAATCTGCAAAACTGCATCACAGCATGTTTGTCTGGCATTTATCTTATAGGCGAGAAGAATGGTAGTATTGCTAAAGTGTGATTTACAGGAACTAAGTCTATATAATTACATTATATTCAGATTATTTTGCTGTAAGGGCAACTGTAAATGTTTGTTGTAACAAACCTATTATTTCATGTTGAGTAGATTTTCCAATGACCTCTAACCAAAGAT